TTAGAATAGTGCCTAGGGATAATACTAGAAATATAAGAAACGATTTAGAAATAATTTAGAAATAATCACTAATATATCTGCTTTCTTAGCCTAATAGTCCTCTTATAAAACTAGAAGCTTTTAGGTGGTATTAGGAGTAATATTACTAGGTATATATAGAGTAGAACTCTGTTAGTCCTAGTATATTACCTTTCCCTTTAGCTATAGTATAATATACTAATAGTATATAATTCCTAGACTGCCCTCCTCTTTACTATGATTATTATTATATAGTTTAGACTGAATTCCGTTATCCTAATATAGGTAATAGAGAGATAGTTTCTAGTAAGTTCTTAACCCTTATTAGAATCAAGACTTTAAGACTTATAGTTATTTCTTTAGAATTTACTACTCCTACCCGCCCCCCCTCCCGTATAATTATCGGGGTTAAGACCTTATCTTCCGTTTTCTGATTATAAAGACTGAATATACTATTAGGATATAGGTTTAGACTATTCCTATACTGCTAGTAAATGGTTTTTAGTGTAGATTTAGACTATTACTAGATAGCTAGCTTAGTGTTTTTAGAATAGGTTTAGACTATTTTTATAATACTGGATTCTTTTTTTTTAACTTTTATAATACCAGCTTAGGATATATAGAATCTTTTTTTACTATAAAAACTTTTTTTTAGAACTCCTTTACGATAATAATAAATCACGATCCTAATAGCTAAAGTAGCCCCTTTTATTTTACTGTTACTAATTACCTTACTAATTTAAACGAAATAACCGTTTACGTTCTAGCTAAAGCCTTATTAGTTCTAGCTTATGCTACCGCTTATCCTAGAGCCTCTGCCTTTTAATTTAAGCCTCTAACTCGCAATCCCTCCGAACTATTTTACGACGGCGCTCCTTAATACTTAGATTTATCTTTTTAAATAATAGAGATACTTATAAAGCTTAGGTACGATTTAGGGTAAACTATTAATAAAGATTCTATTAGTTTTAGCGCTAACTTTATAAATAACTTAGAGGGATACCGCTTAACGACACGCTCCCTATACTTCTAGCTAAAGAACTTCGCGAATCCGAATCTATACTATCGTTATTAAAGCCACTAAAGTCTTGTAGAGTGTTAAGAGGAGATCTTAATATAGATCGGCTAGAGTTTATAGTACGGCTATGTAAACGATTATAAAAAGCCTTATCACGCTCTATCTTTACCTTAACATATTTTCTTTTTATAATAAAGTAAGGTTAGTTACCTTTATATTATATAAAGAGTAGTAATTAGGTATACTTCTTCGTTTAAACATATTATTAAGCCGACCCCTTATACCTGTGTTTCGCTATAAGCCGGGGATATTAAGGGAGCGACTAGTAAAGTCTCTGGAGATAAGATTCTAGTTATAATCTCGATATCTATAAAGGTTAGTATAGGTTTTTATAAGAATATCCGTAAAACTATCCTAGTAATCACTTTAAGGATAAATATATTTCGCCTAGTGAATATATATAAGGCTTAGTATATAACCTTAACCGTGTTAGTATTATTGATAAGTAATACCTAGTCCTTAAATAGAATATTTAAGGTAGCGTAATAAAATTCTAAAGCGATATAGGTAAGTTATTTATAAAGGGCCTAGTTATAGTACTCGGGAAATCTCCTTAGCGAATAAGTTAGCGATTAGAACTATATCGGAAATATTTCCGAAACGTTTCCGTTTTTTCGGATTACCGGTAAATCTATTCTAAATTATTTCGGAATCGTTTCTAAATTGTTTCTAGGTTATACTCACGGCTAATCTTATTATATAGATTATTATAGTCCTCCTTTATCCGGTATTCTAGTAGAGTTATTAAGATCCGATACCGAGAACCTTCTCCTCTCTCTTAATCACTGCCTAGGAGACTCTTAATACCTCGCCTAAAATAAACTATATAGAGTCGGATATAACGAGATATCTAATTCTCCTAGGTTTTAAGGGGCCTATACCTTTACTATAAGTATTTTCCGAAACCCTGAATCACGGGTAAGACTTAATCTAGAGTTACCCCGAGCAGATTATCTCTATAAAGGTATTTCTACTTAATCTTAATCCTATACTTCTTTTCTAGGATTCGGAAAACCTTATAAAATATATAGTAATATATCTTTATTATCTCGGAGTTTATATAGTATCTTACTAAAAGAAGAACTATAAAAGTATTAGAAACGATTCGGAAAGGTTTCCGATATAGTTTATAAGTATACCTTTTTCGGAGTTCTAGCTATACCACGGCTAAATAATTTCTTTCTAGTATATACCCGTAACGTGTTTATAGTTCGCGTCGATAAAAAACGATTTTATATCGGGGAAATTCTACATTTTTACCTGCTTATAAGAAAAGTAGATAACTATATAGTTATTTATGGATTAGAATAAGTATTAAATATACTAGATATATTAGAATAAGCCCTAAAAAGAATCTTATAATTTCGTTATATATATCCGTTAGTTTACCTCTTTCGTCTACTTAAGGGCTAAAGTAATACTCCGACTACTTAAAGGAAAAAGGATAATCTATTACTTACGAATAATATATTAGAGGTAATCGGTATTTATAAGACTTATATAAATATCTATCATCGATTTCCCACGGAACTCTATAGGGAAGGCTTTAAGTTCTCTTAATCTTAGGAATCTATTAAGTGTTATACTTAGACTACTAATTTTTACGAGTACTCTAGTAATCCTATTTAGCACTAAGGGGGGGGCTTTTATAGGAGGTAGAGGAGGATATAAATATATTCTATAGGACGTAATAATAATCTATAGTGTTATATATAGATCTATCGGAATAAAAAGTCTTAATTCGACGCTCTAACTTCGCCTTTAGATTTCTCTAGGGTTCTCGAAATAAACTTTATCTATCCTTAAATATAAGTATAAGAATAAATAAGAAATCCCGAATAGTTTCTAAATCGTTCCTAAATCGTTTCCGAAACGTTTCCGAAATATTTTATAGTAAATATACCGCACGTCTTTCGCTTTCTACGATTCGTTATAAAAGAATAGTATTTCTTATCTAAATTCACTAGAACTCCGTGTAGTAAGGGATTAAGAGTCTATGTAATAAGGTCTAGCTAAGGGTAATGGACTATTAGTATAACAGTATTAAAATAGCGACGCGATATTTAACCTAGTATCTACGATCGGCACCGTACACGATATTATTCGAAGTCCGTAAGATACTTTGCTTAATTAGAAAAAAGAACTTATCGTACTAGATTTAAGGATATAATACTTATATAGTATCTACTAGAGTCTACTACTAGGAAACACGTCTCTTAACTTTTAATATATATAATCTTTTTTATAAATCTCCCTTAGATTACTTATGCCCACCTAATACTATATTAGTCCTAATATATAATAGTTTCGACGCGTTTTTACTTACCTTATAGCTGTTTTTTATACTATAAGTTCTTTTACCTTAGCTCTTCGTTAACTAATTTAATTAAGAAGCTCTATAGTAACTTATATATAAAAGAATTTATTTAGAGGAAGATATTAACACGCTTTCCCTCCTGAATATATATAGATATATCATTATATAGCGGTATTACCTAGCGTAGTATTTATAGTAAGAAAGCTAGGGTATTTCCGCGTAATCTCGTATTAGATCTATAGAATATTAGACTTAATAAAGTTAAATAAAGCTAAAACTTATAATTATCTATAGAGCTTTCTTCTCTTCGTTATTTAGAATATCGGCTAGAATAATAATTATAATACCTATATTAAGAGTTTTAGGTATTTCTGGAATACTAGCTATATACCGGAAACGATTAACTAGTATAGCCTGATAGCCGGGGGTAAGTCTCCTATTAGTATAGGTAGCTATAGATATAAGAATCGAGCTACTCTTAGTCTCGGATAGAATCTACTTTTTATTAGGAAGGATGTATATATAGATATATTTAGTGTATATATACCTGCTTTACTTTATTCCGTTAAATTACGTCTCGGACTGCGTAACGACTTGGATAGAGTCTATAAAGATATGGTCTCTGATTCTTATTCTTAAGGAATCTAGTGTTATAGAATTTATTATTATGTTGTTCTGGGTCTGGTAGCAGTTTATCTTAATAAATCTCGCTATATGCATTAATATATATGTCTAGATCTATCTTAAATAAAATAAAGAAGATTTCTGAATCGTTTCCGAAACGTTTCCCGGTTTTCGGATTACTAGTTAATTAATTCGATATTATCACTAAATTATTCCCGAATCGTTTCATAATTATTTCCGAATCATTTCCTTTTATACGTTCGATTATTACTACTTTATTAAGTTATTTACCCCTTACTTACTAGTTTATCCCTCCTGTTAATACCTAATACTTACTTAGGTATATACGTAGGTTATATAACATGGCACGGACCCAGTCCTATAGTAACCCTTAGCTTAACCTTATGCCCCTATAACTACTATCAGCCAAGCCCTCTAGTTGGATATCAGTTTATCTATAACCTGCCCGTGACCAAGTATTTTTTACTAGCTAGCAAGGTGGTTGTAGATAAACTGATGTTGAACTCGGAGGCTGAGCTGAGGGTAGGTGTGGGTCCGAGTGGGGCAAAAAGTTGAGCTGAGGGTTGCTGTGGGGCTATGTACTAAGATCACGTGACTAAATATCTTAGGTAACCACCCTTATAATAGGTAGGTAAGGGTTATTATAGGGCTATATATTAAGGTCACGTGACTAAGTATTTCAGGTAACTACCCTTATAATATATATAAGGTAGGTAAGGGGTATTATAGGGCTATTTATTAAGGCTACGTGACTATATATCTAGGTAACTACTCTTATAATAAGTAGATAACGGTTATTATAAGGCTATTTATTAAGGTTATATAACTAAATATATTAGGTAACTACTCTTATACTTAGTAAAAGACTTTATAATAATATAATAACCCTTAGTAGAAATACTCCTTATAATACCTTAAGGTATTTAACGCGATCCCGAAATAGTTCGACCAATCAATTAAAGGCGTAAAGCCCCGTACCTACCCTTAGCTCAACTTTTTTATCAGCCACGCCCCACATCTACCCTCAGCCCAGCCACCGAGTTCAACATCAGTTTACATGTAACCTCCTACCAAGCTAGACAAGGAAGACGAACACGACCAAACATGTTCCCCCTACCAGGGCTCTGGCTTAGCACGGTCCGTCACTTCGCCGTGCGCTTAGAACAGAGCATCATCGTACCCCACCACGAAATGTGACACAGTACCAATCTATAACTTCCACACCCCTATTTGTCTGACCTCATGTTTGTTGGTATCCCTTGGTGAACAGCTCGTACTTATCAATGAAATTGTATGGGCGAGACTGGGGGACATGAAAGGAGTCTCATGAATATGTACAAAGCATCCGTGGGTTTCCCTACTACATAATAGAAGAGCGTTAAGCATGCTTTCCTCCCCGTAAGGGATCTGACTTGCACGAGATAACAAAAGGTCAGCCGACCTCCTCACTTCGTCCGATCGGCACGTGGATGGTCTTGCCCACATCAAATCCCTCATCGACGCATTCCCTCCCGATCATACCAGGGACAACGTAGCCCCGTTGATTACTGACCACGCGGATCCCACGCTTCTCAAATTCCGTCGAGTAGTGTGTGTGCCCGTAGACCCAATGCCTGACCGAACCCCACGTCTTCTCGCCGGACATGATATTCGTTGCGAAGGCCGAGGTCCAGGGATTCTTGAGATGCTCGGGTCTAGATGTCTCCACAACCAACGGCGCGTGGTGTGTCACAACGAGGACCGACCGCCCAGGGTCTATATTGTCCAGCTCCGCTCTAATCCAAGCGACGTCCGACTTGTGTGCATCATTGTGGCGGTCCACCGTCCAGTTCTCGATCCTGCGAAAGTCATTCACCCTTTTCCCTACGATCTCTTTGGCTTCGTCGGGGACGTGGGACCAGAGCGTGCAGCCTAGTATAGTGATGGCGTCTGGGAGATCGATTCTGGTTTGTTGGAGCAATGACAGCTTCCCTTGCAGGCGAGGCTCTTTCTCTAGCTTCTTCGCAGTTGAGAGCGCTGTAGCAAAGTCTAGCCCGTAGAACTCGTGGTTGCCCAGGACTAAAAAGACACGATCATAGCGTGCCGTCTGGTTGTGGAGGAAGTCGAGGTAGGCGTCGTAGTCGGAGAGGAGACCGATGTCGCCGGCGAGGATGAGGTTCGGTGCCGTGGTGGGGAAGTCAAAGACGGAGTACTGCTGGCCGACCTCGAGGTGGAGGTCGGACAGGACCTGAAATGGCAGGGTGGCGATCGTGGGTTTCAGCGCTCTGTTCAACAAGCGGGCTCGAATTGTGGAAAGAAAACGCTTCATACTGTAGAAATCGCTAGAACCCTGCGGTGCAGAGATACTCAATTTGAAAATGATATTGAAGGTTTCATTGTGAACAACATGCCGCGATGCTGTTAGAATGGTCGGGATGAGGATTCCAGGCGGATGGATGGTGTGGTTTTTTGTTTTCGGAAGATTCTAGGATAAAGATTCAGGTGAAACCAGTTCGCTATAAGCCGCGCGCCAAACGAAACGACCTGGCTTTGTGGTTGGTCGGGGACCTAAAATAGCAGCCCCCCCAACCCCCCCGTTCCCCAACAGATTTGGCACGTTAACCCCCCACCTTAACCACAAGCCCCAATTGATCCCTCGACACCGAGCATCTTCCCACCGTACGAACCAACATCCGTCAAATAGAATGGAAGAAACTTTGATCAAGGTCACTCTCGTCATCCTCGACTTTCAGCAGATACGCTCTTGCATTGTGGGTGAGCTAGCGCTAAACTACTACAATGTGCCACGGGTGCTGCATGTGAGATCTCAGGCCCCACGTAGGCTGTTTGACCTAGCCGCTCATGCTACCCAGGATATCGAAATTTGCGTCCCTGAGGCCCGTGTCCCAGAAGCCGCCGCATTGCTCTGCTCTACGGGACTTTTCAAACAGTCCCCTGCGGTGAAGTCTGACTTGTTCACCGAGTACAAGCAGGGCTACCCTAGGCTGCAACCGACTCTCTGGACTCCAGCAGCCTGCGCAGTTATCATCTTGCCCGACACTCTTTTCGGATTACAGCCGCTCGAAGACGCCATCGTCCGGAGGGAAGAGTGGGATTCATCCCCACTCCCTAGCAAACAGATTGTAGACATCATTCCCTCTATCGACCTAGCTGCCATCCCAGTCCCTCGTCTTTCCTCTCTCCTTGTCGGCCTTTGCCGTCGTTACTTGGATCAGGCGGATGATGCTGCGATGATAGCCGCAGAGCAGTTAGTTGACGGCATGAACTTGGATCAGGATTGGTGCTCCAGGAACATCTCTGCTGCCGGCGTGGATGTGTACGATCTATCACAGCAGCTGATCCTAGGCAAGTCATCCCGGATGGACCAGTTTTCGGGGAACGAGATCACTTGTTTCGTCGCGGACGAAGCCGAGGCGAAGAAGCTACGCGATATTCCAGGATCGGGTTGGGCATCAGCATAGGATCAGAAACACCAATCATTCATTTATTGCCGCCTCAATCAGTTTGTTTAGGGGCATACGCGCCCTAGGAGGGGCCGGGCCCGGTGTAGCCAACATCGATCACCAACGTCAAGCAAGAACCGCCAACAGTAAAGGTGAAACTATAATTAGAGAGCCTTCTGGGCTATATAAACGTGTGACCTGAATCACTGAATCTCATCTGACAAGCCCGCCTCTTAGCTCCGTCATTTCTTCCACAGCATTTCCCTATACTCAACTCTATAATGATTCAAGATCGTCTTAACGACGCCGCTATTGCTCTCTTCCGAGTCCTGAGCAATGCAGGCATTCACTTTGGCATATTCGGTGGATATGCCATCGCCGCAATGGGGGGCCTCCGTGAGAGCAAGGACATTGACTGCCTTGGCTCCGTCTCGAAGGATAAGGCTATCGAACTCCTAGACGGAGTCGATGGCTTTGTCGTCATACCGCAGAGCCGTCGTCCGACCGACCTGATCGCAGCCGGGCTGTTCTCGTCGAAATCTTCTGCGAGCAATTCCCAGGTAGGCCAACCCCGGCGCCCATCCATCGATGCTACTCCCAAATCTAACGCATGGCGGCGGTAATCGGGTGCTCGATACTCGTTGGGTAATATGCAGACGAACGTGCTATCCCTGAACGGACAGACTCTCGGCCAGGGCCGCTCTTCTTTCTTCGACCCGTTCCATCTATTCAAGGGGAAGGTTCGGGCTGCGGCCACCCGATCTCAGTTCCACGACTCGGCAGATCTTCGCTGGCTGGGCAGCCACTTGGGAGTCCAGATAAAACCTCACACCAGCAAGCTCGATCCTGTTTACGTTGGCCTTGCTATTAGCAGGTACTCGATTCTTGAAAGGCTCTTCGTGGACTTGGGGGTAGATGTGGAGGCGGCGAAGGAAGCGGCGAAAGACCAAGACCCGAATAATCTACCTCAACCCCAGCCGGGCGATGTGCAGAAGGGCCTTCTAGGCTGATGTATGCTTGAACATCCTTCAAATAGCAATCAGATGCGTCTATCCTTATTTTCCAGTGTGTATACGTTGTAGTTCGGCTGGCTCCGGTCTTCAATGGGGGGTAGCCTGTATGAACAGACAAGGAATTCGAAGTCCGGGATTCATTCAAGGGTCTCGCCAGTCTCACGAAAAAGCGTCGGGCTTCGGCCAATCTCAGCCGTACTTCCTCGCTAGCTCGTAGTTCAGGGTGCCCATTTACCCAGTCTCGCCCTTGTGCCTTTCGCCCTCAATGGTCGATGGCATCCCTCCAGCATCGCTAACTCTAGCTATGCCTCGAAGCCTAAAATCAAAAGGCAACCCCTGCAATGGGTGACAGCTTCCAGTGCTACTGGAGGTAGGGACGGTTTCGTGAGCAATGTGTCGCATGGGCACACGGACCACGACGTGGTCCATAGGGGATCCAGGGGGGGGATCCACGCTATAACTAAGGGCTTCGGATATAACAGGGGCGGATACCGGAAAAGACCGGATAGGATCCAAATAACTTAGTACCTATAATAGAGTCTTTACTACCTAAATTAAGGGTATAAGAGACTCTCCTAGATATAACTTAATATAATATATATACACGAGATTTCTACTCTACTAAGTTAAGTATATAAGTGCCTATTTAATATACGATAGTTATAAGCCCGGTTTATAACGCTTAGACGATAGATATTAATAAGGCTACCCCTGTTCTACTATAAAAAGTAATCACGTCTATATAAGCACTCTTAAATAACTACTATTAATCTAATTAGAGTAATTAAGAGATTAATTAACCTACCTATTAACTAACTAATAAACGATAAACTAGTAAAGATATCTTCTAACGTATCTAACGCCAAATAGAAGGCGACCGCTATTACCCTAGTTAACTAGAGGGATTAGGTAGTTTAGGAGCGCGTTATACGCGGTAAATCCGCCTCCTACTAGGATAACTACCTTAATCTAAAACTAAGCGATAAGGAGGCTAACGCTTACCTCCTCCTTATACCGACGCCGTCTAACGTTTATAAGTATAAAGCCCTTATCGTGGACTTAGACGCGGAGGAGGCTATAGCTACTACGTTTTCTACTATTACGCTAAAGGGCGATAAGGCTACCAATACCACGGAGGCCACGGCCGCCGGTAAGAAGAAGACGGCCGCCCGCCGGAAGGCTATAGCCACGGCCGTAATAAAAGAACTAATAACCAGGACGCCTATATCTATTAATAACCTCTCTAAAAAGGGGCGTACACGCTACCTATAAGATCGCCGTGTATACTATAAAGAAAAGGTAGACTATAACGCGTAGTAGAAGGAGTTTAATATAGTATACTCCTATATTAAAGGGACCGTCTATACTATATTACGTAGCCTCCTTGCCTAGCTATAGGATAATACTATAAATAACCCACGGGCTTAGATTACTCTCCTATACGCGTATATAGGACCGACCTCTATAAACCTCTATAAGGAAGCCTTAGTCCTATATCGATAATACACCACGCCTATAAAGGCTATACCTAAGGATATAGACGGCTATATTATAAGTGTTACGACGGCTTCCGGTCCTCTATAGTATAGCGGATAATAGGGGACTAGCGTCGAGGTTTTAGTTTAAAATAAGAAGAGGATATTAACTAAAGAGCAGTAACTATCGTTCGTAGTGGTCTAGTCGTAGTTACGTCGTAAAGACTAGGCGTCTTCTTTATAAGGTAGGTTTAAGCGTAGAATAGTAGTCTAGGTAAAGACTTAGATTAATCGATATCTTATTCTCTAGTAGAAGCAAGACCTAGAATACTCTAGTATATATAGCTTATTATTCACTAGGTCCCTAGTAAATAACCCTATAACGTTTACTAGGTATTCACTTATTATTTACTTCTCCGTTAGTGAATATTCGTGAAGTAAGTTACTTACCTAGGTAGCCCCTATAACGCCCTGGCCTATACTTATTAGTGGTGCTAATATATCCTTCCTAGCGGGGTTATATACCGGAGCACGTAATCCCTCTTCCTAAGTTATCTTCTAGTTATATCCTAGTACGCTAACTATCCTAGTACGTTATATACTAGTGCATCCTTTATATTAGTGTATATTAGGCCCGTTAGCCGTAATATTACCTCCCCTCTTCTAAGCGCTATCCTAGCGGTTGTATAAGTAGGCCGCTTCCCTAGGCTTAGTGCTTCCCTGCTTTTCTTCTTTTCTTTATAGCTAACTATTATACCCGACCGTGTGCAGAAATATTCTGCTAAAACCGCCACTTTCCGTTCCTCTCTTAACCGAGTTCGAACTTCCGCTCTTATTACCGATCAGGGTTTCGAGGTTTTGCCTTACTCGCGTTATTTCGACCGGTCGATTCCTTATTTCGTCCTAGACGGTATCAGGCGTTACTCGTCTTATTACTCTATCGGTCGTTCCTATAACTCTTCACGGGCTTCTATATCTTCTAGTAGGTTATCTTCTTCGTTCTCCCTTACTCCCTTCCTAACCGTGTATATTCTAGTTAGCCGTATTCACGACGAACTCCGTCGTCTTAAGCGCGAGGAGGAGCAGGCGGAGGAGGTTTTAAGAGCTCGCCGTTAAGAGCTTAAGGCCGCTAAGGCCCGCGCTCGATAGGAAATAAATAAGGCCTTAGCCCGCTTACTTCGCCTTTAAAAGATACGCTAATTACTTCGCGAGAAAAGGGTCAAGATAATACATAAGGACTTTATAAGCGTAGAAAAGCTTAAGGAGTTAGAACAGAAGGAAGCCAAGGTCCGTTATACGGAGTCGGAGGCTATATTAGTTATATAGATAGCTAGTATAGTTAACGTGATTAATTAGAATTAAATTATAGCGTAGGATATAGGTGATTTTTCGGATATTAATTTTACGTAGACCGCGGTATCTAGTTCCGGGTCCTGATAGTATTTTATCGGGATTATTTTAGGAGTTATTTATAATAGATTAGGTTTTCTTTAGGTTCCTATATATTATCGCCGTGGTCGTAGTTTTTCCACTTAATAAAATATTCGGTGCCGTCTAGCGTCTCTTAATAATTAAGGATTTATTCCGCTTCGTATATATTGCTAATATCGACCACGATCGTATCTTATATTATTTTTATATTCTTTAGTGCTAGTTTAAGTAGTGAAATATAGAAATTATTATATATTCTTATTATCGGAGGTAGTAATAGGATATAGTTCGTATCTGATTTTTTCTCTAGGGTTTCGAATAGTCCTAGTTTTTTAAAATTCAATTTATCGCTTAGTCGTTAGATTTTTATATTTTTACGAATAAGGTAGACGCGGTCCCCCCTTAAAAGGGTTAGTCCCTTAATCCTTGATTAATTCGCGTACTTACTTATTCGTGTTCTAACTATTTTTAGGTCGGTTCGTAGTTCTTCGTGTAGTTTCTTAATACTTTTAACTGTTTTTATTACTTTTAGCGTATTTAGTCCTTTTAAAGGTTTCCTAAATACTATCGGATTATATCCGTAGTTTACTTTAAACGGTATTTTCTTTATTAACTCGTTTAATAAGCTATTATATACGAATTATATAAGTAGTAGGTATTATACTTAATTATCTTACTTATATCCTACGTGGTATCGTAGGTATTATTTTAGGATCTAGTTTATAATTTCGGTTTATCCGTCGGTTATAGGGTAAAATACTATTAAGTACTTATATTTCGCCCCTAGCTAGCTTATAACTACTTTCTAGAAGTTACTAGTAAATAATTTATCTTTATCTATAATAATCTTATATAGTATACCGTGATCCCGGATTAGGCGGTCGAGGAAGATACTAGCTAGTTCCTCTGCTATAGTGTTTTTAATATATAGAATATAAAGAGTGTATTTCGTGAATCGGTTAATAATTACGAATACGCCGTTATAGGCGATTCTTATTACTAGATCTTTAGATATCGGAAATCCTATCACGAAGTCTATTATAATCGATTTCTAAGGTCTATTTACTACTAGTAATAGCTTTAATAGTCCGTAAGGCTTATATTGGCTACTCTTTACTTTCTAGTAAATATCGTAGTTACGAATAAAGTCTCTGACTCGTTCTTTAGTTCCTATATAACCGTATTATTATCGTAATCGGCGGTAGGTCTTATAAACTCCTTAATATCTATATATTAGCGAGGCGTATACTTCTTTAAACGTGGTACCGGTTATTTGATTAATATTATGTATTTCTCTGTTTTTAAGTGTAAGAGCTTCTCCTTCCTATTAGAGTATAGCTTATAGTTTAGGTGATTTATCAGGTGTTTCTAGTCGGCTAAGTGCGTTTACGCGACTATTTTCGCTTCCTTTTATATATTAAATATAGAAGTTAAATTCGGATAGGAATTCTGCCTATCGGATCTATCGTTTATTAAGAACCTTAGTAGTGGTGAACTATATAAGGTTCTTATAATCCGTGTAGACCTATACCGGGTGTTTTATTCCTGATAGATACGGTCTCTATTCTTTAAAGGCTTTAATAATAGCTATTAGCTCTTTATCGTGGATCTAATAGTTAAGTTCTAGTCTACTAAGTTTTTTAGATATAAAGGCTATAGGATATAGTCTTCCTTTTACGTCGCGTTATCCGAGTTATACCCCTAAAGCCTAGTCGGATATATTTATCTTGAGTTTATATTCTTTATCGGGGTTTAGTATTACTAAGATAGGTTCGCTAGTAGCCCTTTCTTTAAGGGCTTAGAATGCTTCTTCTATTCTTTCGTTCTAGTAAAAGTTAAGTCCTTTTTTAGTTACTTCGGTTAAGAGGATAGTAATCTTAGTATACTCCTTAATAAATCGTTAATAGTTGTTAATAAGTCCGAGGAAAGACTAAATATCGCGAACGTTCTACGGCTATAGCCACTTAGAGACGTATTAGAGTTTCGCCTTATCTATATAGATGTTATTAGGTCGTATCGTATACCCTAAAAAGTTAACTTCTTACGTGTAGTATTATACTTTTTCTGGTTTAACTAGTAAGTCGGTATTTT